TATTCTGTATTGCTCCACTATGGCAGCCTAGGGCTGCTTATTTTAACAGATCTATCCTTGCCACATTTGACATCTGGGGAGACATTATACAGTATTAATAAGGTTTTTAAAGCACTGCAAAAGCCCACCTCTTTCCACAAAGCTACAACCCTTATTACAGTGATGTTGTGGTTATTGCAAAACTTCTTGTACAATCGACATTGGGAGTAAGTAGGGTTTAGTACTTTCTCTCTAAAAGAACACTAGTTAATACTTCACATCTGCCCACATCTAGCTCCCAGCCATATCTAGAAGTATTAGAGTCCTAAATATGTATTATATAGATATTAATAGTTCACCTGCACAGCTTTACTACAACACTACTAGATAGCGCAGGGCTCCTATAGATATAAAACTAACAGGTATATTAACAAAAGGGTGAAGAGTTTGGAGAAGGCAGGAGAAGTGAACAATCTAGGCCAAAATAGCTGATTTGGAAACATTCTCTAATTCATCTCAATTTCCAGTTCAGCTATGTTGTCCTAGATTGTTCACTTCTCCTGCCTTCTCCAAACTCTTTCCCCTTTTGTGAATATCGAAATATACGAAAAAATCGAGCTTTTGAGCGTTAGCAGCACTCAGCTAAGAGAGATGAAGGCAGGTTTTCCTTTGACCTTTGTCGTAATTTATACACATACTGTATTTGTAAATGGAGCTGGTCATTTTAGAAGGCTTAAGATAAAAATGGCTGAGAGATGATAGGCTGGGGAAGGTGGCCATTGCGCAAAATAAAACAGGCTTATCGAAGCTTTAAAAATTCAAATTAGGAAGTTATATTGAAAAGGCTAGTCATAAAAGTCTGCATCCCTATATACTAAAAGGCACATTAAATTCATGCAATAAAACTACCATAGACACTGGTTTAATGTGCATGTAGAAAACTGAACACATAATAGTGGATATCCAGACCTTTAAGGAATTCCTGATAAAAAATGTATTTTCTTTGGAAGGCTGAAGGCTCCGGCTTTCCATCTAAGGATATTAAATGTGATGATAAATGTTTATTCTTCACATAAGATAAACACATAGAGCATGAACTTGTGCATATCCTATCAGTATGCTCAGCTACAGTGTGCTGCACACACAGCTTGAATTTAATGGAACTAACTGCTGGAAATGTCTAATGTGTAAAACAGATATGTCATGTGCGTAATATACGCATTTGGAAAAGTTTGGCGTAAGTCTCATTCTGCATAATTTATTCTAGTTCAGAATATGATAGTATCTAATAACTAATCCATATAATATTCCATTCCAATGGAACATGCAGGTACATATACCATACACAATTGTTCCAAGGTAAACATGAAACACATGCAATGTAGGCTACCTAGCCAAAAACAATATAGTGATCGTGTGTTTGTGTCTATCAATAATTCTGCATAATATATGGATGTGTGCACAGCCAGGTGCTACTAATATTTTGGAGAATAAGCCTACTAATCAAAATACCTAATGTACCTTTTCCCCCTATTATTTCAGGTTGTATGCTGCAGTTTTTAGGTAGCCACAAAACAATTGCTGCCTGATCCTGTCAGGGCCACTGTAAGGCATCCGTGAGTCCAGGATAACAATCGTTCTACTGGGTTTCTAGCACCTAGAAACCTTTATTTTTATTTTTTTTATACAAATTGCACCTGATAAGAATGTGTCTTAAATATAATGTTTTGGTTTGCTTGGTTAGATAGAGCTGACTTAGGTTAATGAGTGGGATGGATGGATAAGGATTACAATGTATACACCTATTCAGTTTTCGGCTGGCAGAAGTGGAAGAAGGTGTCTTCTGCTCTAGACCATCTTCTGAAAGGTCACAGATGCTGTTTGTTCAGAGATACCCTTCAGTAAAACACGGCTGTGGTGGCTGAGTAGTTGCAGCTGCCCTGTCAGCTTAAAAAAAAATATATAGTAATTACCCTTTGACTGCCCTCATTAAAAAAAATATATATTTTGTCCACTTACTGGCTATATTTTATTTTTCACACCCTTTTCTGTAAACCCTATTGAGAGCTCTGAGGGAAAATCCCAAGTGGTCAGTAATTTCTGGAGTATTGCAAAAAGCATGTCTTGTACCAACAACAACTATGAATTTAAAGTTGCTTGAAGGGAATGCCTTTTTGTTTTGTACATAATTTATTTCTGTGCTTTTGATGGCCAAGCCTTTTTTACTTTGAATTTAAAGTGACAATAAACTCAGTAGTAAAATCTTAAACATGCACTCAAGTACCCTAACTATTAACAAAATTGTAACCTATTTGTGCATCACTCAGCTGTAGATCCTCAAACCATCTCTAAATTCATGCTGACACTGTCCTTCCTTCTGGAGGGTGGCTACTTTTGTTCTGCATGATCACTATGTGTATTGTAAAGTAGCCACCGCTCCAAGCTAACTCACCGTGATGGACTACAATCTCAATACAAATACAAGTAAACTAAACATGAGATTATAGTCCATTACGGGAGTGAGTTTGGAACGGGGGCTCCACACATACACACAAGGACCATGGGGAACAAAAGTAGCCAACCTGCAGAAGGAAGGACAGTGACAGCACAAATTCGGAGATCATTTGAGGATCTACAGCCGAGTGATACACAAATAGACTACATTTTTGTGAAATGTTAGGGTACTTGAATGCATTTAGATTTAAAGGAATATTAAACTCTCAAACTTTGTTTTAATAATGAATCCATATCAAACAAATATACATTGCCAGGCGCAGTATTTCTTTACTTTTCCCCCCCAAATACTTACACTCATCATGTTTCTGAACAGGTGCTTCCAAGTCTCTCAGCTTCCCTGAACTTCCTGTGCAGTACAAGATCACAAGAGACAGAGCAGACTCCAGCAACTGTTCATCTACCAGCTTTCAGAAGGGAGGATGGAGGAGAGGGGGGTAGGGAAGGGAGAGAAGTAGCTTGAGTTGCTGTGTCTGTGGAGACACACACAGCTTACTAGCACAAACTAGGGTGACTGCATAGCACTCTGCTTGAGAAAGGAGTAACTCTAAAACAGGAAGTCAGGGTCAGTGCTCAAACATTATTTAATCAGCATTTGAAATAGCTTAAAATCCTTTTAACTTTAATATAATTTTAACTTCTGAGTTTAGTTTCACTTTAAGCATATTCATATTTGGCTTTCTACTTCTGAGCCAGCAGGTGGAGCCTTAATCATATGCGTACATAGCTCAATGACTCAACAGACAGGAAGTGAAGGGAAATTTCCCCAATGGTACACAGAGCAAAAATAACCTGGCAGAGGGTTTTGACCCTTCCCTACTCAATCATAAACTAAAATAAAATGTTTTGGTTATACATGCACTTTACCATCGTAGTTTTGAAATTGTAATGTTTAAAACTTAAATATAAAAATTATGCTTTATTAGAAATGTTAATTTAAAAACACAGAAGTTTATCCCTAATTTAATAAATCTGAGCAACCTGGGTTGAAGATAAATAAGATTTAAATCATGGCTTTGTATACACAACTCTGCAACATAATATAGGTCCTAATGGCAATGCTCACAGCTTACACATGTTAATTGTATGCTGTTGCCAATTACATTAATAACACTTGAGATCTATGAAACAATGGATCAAAAGCTGCTACTCACAGGTCTGTAGACAGTTAAACATTTCTAGTTTTGCTTTCATAGAATCAGATTTTGATCCATGCTATGATCCTTTGAGGAAGAAATGACACTTGACCTTAAAATCTAATGCTGTGTGAAGAAAACAGGTCTTGTAGGAATCAGAGACGCAATTTCTCAAACTCAATGACTTGGCATGAACATGAGGATTTAGCTGTTGCTTCATTTAAACCTGAAATGTTTTAAAGCACTGCTAGGTGGCATACTGTAATTGTTGAAGACAGAACTGCTCTTAAATATCAAGCTTTTGAAGATCTTTTGATTTGAATGTTTTCTGATGAGCAGACAATAATTATCAACTTTGCTTAATCTATAATATGAATGTGCAAGCAATAGTTTAAAGCCTATGTAAAGCCAAACATTTTTTTTGTTTTGGATAGAAGGTGGAAGCTGCCTGCATCTTTTATTTTTTATTTTGCATTTGATTGCTGCCTGCATCTTTACTTGGGATTCCTACTCTTATTGGTCCTGGTGTTAGGTGCAGAAAGTGATGTCACAGGAATAGAGGGTTAGTGGAAATCTTCCAATGAGTAAACCTGTTTTGACAACTGTCTTAAGGCTGTGACACACTGCACGCGAAGCCGTGCAGAGCGAAGCAAAGCTATCCGGCACAGAGCTTTGCGTGCAGTGTGTGAGCTGAGTGCAGTCAGATGATTGACAGCACCTTCAGCCAATTGGCTCGTCCGTAACAACCTGCCAGCTGTCGCATTGCGACGCGCTGGTTTATACGCGCGAGCCGATTGGCTGAAGTTGAAATTGTTCCATCTCGGCATGCTCAGCTTCGCGAGCTCTCGCAAGCTGAGGTGCCGAGCAGAAAATTACATGACACACTGCTCGCAAAGGCAGCGCGCCCCCGCTTCGCGCTGCTTCGCGTGCAGTGTGTCACGGGCTTTAGAGGGCATATCCCCTCGCTATGAAAATATGTCCCTGATGGGACAGAAAAAACAAATGACAAGAGTTCTTGGCTTTATATACAGTTTAATGCCAATAGTCCAGTCACAATGCATTAAAGTACAGGACACGTTTTTAAGTGTGATATATTATCAGGTAGTAGTTCGTAGGAGCCCAGATGCAGGGGACTTGCCAATACAAATGGTACCTCAACACATAGGCTACAGGGCATGACATATAAATACTGTTGTTTTATTGGGGTGATTTGGTTTTCAATGTCAGCTTTTTGATGGTGTTGAGCTATGCCTTTTATGATACAATCTTTATAACTAATGGTTGGGCAGCAGCAGTCATATATGAAAATTGAAGTTGCTTTATATTAACAAAAGTATTCTGATGCAGGAAATATATACAGGCATTGCTCGTTTAGCGACCGTGTTCCGCTCCTACGACTAGGTCGTTAAACGAATCGGTTGCTAAACAAGGAATTGTATACAGTACAGTATAATATGTACATTACAATATTCAGAGCAAAGAAATGGACAAAGGAAACTCCAACTTGATAACTTTGCTTTTATTTGCATCAAAGTAGTTCTAGAGCTGGACTGTACAGTACAATCAGCAAAACAGTACTGTACTTTATAAACAAGGTGTACTGTACAAAAAAGACATTGAGGCTCACTAAACAAGTAAACAATGTGTGCAAGAAATTTTGTGGTGCCCTTTGTTGGCTGGCTGGAGTTGTTGGGGATGCAAGCTCTTGGGATTACTCAGATCCTTGGGGCTTGCATGTTTGACAACTCCAGTTAAATGAAGGGGATTACAGGGTTTCATACGTCTTGCATTTATCGATGGCTAACATGGTACCACACTGTACTGTACTGTATTAAACAAGTCGTACAGAATTGTACCAAAAAAAAAATAATCAAGCTAACATTTAACAGGGTTATTCACAAAAATGTGAAGAGTTTGGAGAAGGCATGAGAAGTGAACAATCTAGGACAGCATAGCTGAACTGGAAAGTGTGTTGAATTGGAGAATTTTTCCAAATCAGCTATTTTCTCCTCCCTTCTCCAAACTCTTCAGCCTTTAGTGAATAGCCCTGTAAGTCTTTGAATCCTAAAAAGGTATCGTCATCATTGGAATTCTGATCAGGAGATGTAGAAGGCCCGGGAGATGATGAAGTAGAAATGGAAGAACTAGTAATAAGGGCCCTGGGTGTAGTTTTAGAGAAAAATCCCGTTAGTGTGGTCTGTTTTGTCATTTTCTTTTTTGCTTCATAAATTTCACGATAGCAACGTATAAGTTCACTTATTTGCTGTTCCACTTTTGTGAACCGTTCAACAATCGGATCCATAGCTTCCAGTTCTAACATAGCTGCATTCACTTTTGAGAACACACCCGCTAATCCCTTTGCAGTGAAGTTCTTTGGTACTTCTTCAATTCTTTCCTCTTCTTCTTCCTCCTTTTCTAAGTGTTGCTGTGCTTCCAACTCTATTAAATCTTCCTTACTTAGCTCTCCCTCAGTATATTCCACTAATTCTTTAATATCTTGCAGTTCAACCTCAAAATTAAGCTCGTTAGCAAGTTCCACAGTTGTTTCGTTTATAAGGTTGACATGTTCATCTTTGTCAAATGCTTCTGATGTATGCACAAAACGTTTTAGGCATTTTTTCCATATGCCTTGCATACACTTTTCTGTCACTCCTTCCCAAGCTGATGCAATGTTCTTAATGCACTCTAAAATATTGTATGATTTCCAGAAATCACGAAGGGTTACTTCATTGTTTTCTGTTGTTGTTACAGCTTTGGAAAAAGTTGTGCGCAAATAGTATGCCTTTAATGTAGCTATAGCCCCCTGGTCCATTGGCTGAAGGATAGCAGTTGTGTTTTTAGGCAGATACACTACCTTTACATCTGGGTGTAGATCATCAAGATGCTGGGGGTGGCCTTGAGCATTATCAAGCAGAAGGATGATTTTAAAGGGAACGCCCTTTTCCAGACAGTAATGCTTCACCGAGGGTGTAAAGCAGTTATTGAACCAATCTTCAAATAAAGCTTGCGTCATCCATGCCTTGTTGTTTGCTCGATAGTAAACGGGCAATGTGTGCTTACTAACGTTCTTCAATGCACGTGGGTTCTCAGACCGATAGATGAGTAAAGGCTTCAACTTGAACCCAGTAACATTTCCTCCCAACAACAATGTGACCCTGTCCTTAAAAGCCTTGAAGCCAGGCATTGTTTTAGCTTCTTTGTGTATGTAGGACCTTTCAGGCATTTTCTTCCAAAAAAGTCCGGTTTCATCCACATTGAAGATTTGTTCTGGACAGTAGCCGCCTTTCTCTATGATTTTATCAAATTGGTCAAGAAATTTTTCTGCTGCTTCTACATATGCACTTGCCGCCTCACCACTGACACTCCGATTATGCAGGTTAAATCTGCGACAAAACCTCTGAAACCACCCATGACTTGTTGTGAAAGTTTCAGTCGACTCTTCAACTTCACTTGCCTTCAAAGTCTTGAAGATACTGAGTGCCTTGGCTTGAATTATTGAAAGACTCATTGGCATTCTTTTTTGCATTTGGTCATCAAACCAGATAGCCAATCATTTTTCCATGTCATGGATGAGGTCTTTCCGCTGCCTAGTTATTATGTCTTTAAAACCTGTTGATGTTTTCACTGCCTCCTTCACTCTGTCTTTGTCCTTCAGGATGGTTGAAATGGTTGAATGTGCCAGATTCACGTCCTGTGCTATTGCATTAACTTTTTTACCAGCTTCATAGTCATTTATGATCTTCACTTTCATGTCAAGATCAATAGCTTTCCTTTGTTTTTTGCTGCTTCATCCTGGTGAACTCTTCCGTTTTGATGACATCTTGTACTAAGGGGTACAAAATAAACAATACAGTATGGAATAAGGTACCCAGATCTCCCAACACTACTCTTCAAGAAAAAGAAGTACTGTACAGTACTGTACATTGTCACACTCCAGGTACCACCTGGGCTGCACATCACAGAAACAGCAAGGTGGCTGGAATAGCTGGCACACCATGCATACACAGTACTGTAGTGTTTCAAATATACAGTACTGCACTATCCATACAGTACTGTACTGTAGACAGTATGCTGCATAGTACTCACCCAGAAATCTGTAGATTTTCTGCATAGAATCAATGTTGCAGTGTAGCAGTAAACGTCACCATAGGCCGCACTGTACAGTACTGTAGAAGAAGCCGCAATGCCGCTCATGCTCCTACGTCTGAACTGCGTGCACGACTAAACTAGAGAAAACTTAAAACGTTAGGAGGCAGCTGTCATTTTTAAGGAGCATACGGAGCTCCTGGGATTTGTGCATCTCTGTTTTCATGTATGATTTGTTTTTTTATAAATATATATTCGGGTTGCACCGATGCCATTTTTTCAAGTACAAGTACTGATACTTGTCTAAGTACTCACAGATACAAGTACTGATACATTTTTGTTTAGTGTCCTGTGACAGTTTTTCTAAAACAATACAGACTAACGATTTCAGGACAATGGCGGAGCGTCAGAGGTAGGTCCCAGCTGCAACTGCTGCAACCCTGATAGTTCTCGTGAAAATGCCAAATATCGGCACTGCTATCTGAACATCCCTAGTTGCTAGGTAATATTCAGCAGTTTATTAAAATACAGCATCTCAAAATAGTATTAGTGCATACAGTTCTGCGTATACAACTAGACTTACATCACAAAAAGATGTTTAAAGCTACAGGCATGCATGCTTATTTGAGTGTTGGATGCAGGATAGTGATAAACAGATTTAGCTCTACGTCATTGGTTCTCTTATGTGGTGGGTCGGTTGGCAAAAACACTGAATGTTCTATGGTGCCAGGCCTGAGGGTCACAAACACAGTTGCTAAAATTATAAGCAAATTACCTTGCATTCATTCTAATGTTTTTACTAATATATGTTAACATATGCCCAGTCATTAAATGATTACAATATATTAGGCTTAATAAAGATACAGATATTCTGCTAATCAGAAACATTATGGTGTTACAGTGTGAACCAGTCCTCTCAGTTTATCTGTTTTTATATCTTTATTTTGGTTTCAGTTTTAAAATGTAATCTGTGACACAAGCAGTAAAATCCCTTTGCAAACAAGCCCTCATTGACCCCTGTAGCTATAGGTATTGGGGAAAATTAACAAAACTTCCTGCTGAGTGACATGCCACATTAACAAAGCAGATAGACCTATCTCAGGTCTATCTGTGCCACCTGGCCAGTTTCTATTGCAGAACGGACTCGAAAATGGTATGGGTTCATAGCAGTTTTCTATATAAAAGACTTTTGTAGATCCCTGCCAGATTAGACCTGGCTTATGGAATGGGAACTGTCGGCCGGTAACATGGCAGACAGTTCCCATGCCTTTCTCTGCCCGAGCAATAAACTCTCAATATGGGCAGAGCCTGCATATAGGCTGGGAAAGCTCTTACCGCCTTTCTCCTCCCTTTTGCTTTTAGTTCCTTCAAATTTCCTTATCTCTATGAACAAAAATGAACAAATAAACCCCATGAAGCATTAGAAAATGCAACAAATGTTGCAAAAATTAAAAAATGTTGAATAAAATTCTGCTGGTGTATAACTAGCCTAAGTGAAATGCTTAGTGAATTTTAGTATAAATAAGAACAGATAGGTGTCAGGACTGGATGCAGACACCCCAGTCAGAGTAAATAGTGGCTATTATTATGTGTCACTGATACTCGAATGCCCCCAGGTTTTGAACTATATACTCTGGCTGCAGAATGTTGCAGGTTGGCCTCAGAAAAAGTATAGCGGTACCGATTGGTAATGGAGAACATAAAGCTCTGGCTATTCAATGGAGACAGGGATAGTGACACCATAATGGGAAGAGAGTGTTCCTATTTTGGGATTTATTTAACCAAGTGTAGGAGCTTTCCCTTTGAGGGAAGCTGTGAGTTTCCTCCCTCATGGAATTTTGCCATGCTAGATGGAGCAATTAGTCTAGAGGAGGAAAATAAATGAGCACATTGAGAATTTAGTTAGAGAAATGTGACATGATTGAAGCGGTGTGATGAGAAACTGTTGGAAAGAAGTTCTTATATTAAGTAATTGTTGATACAAAGACAAAGTTGGACTGAGTCTTCCCTTTATTTCTTTGGAAAGTGTGGTTAAGCTTATGGCTGGAAAATAGAGACAGTGAAACTGGTTCTGGAGTAGAAGAGAATGTTTCCTGAGGGCAGCTGTGATGCAGTACAGTCATGAGCTGTAAGTAATGGCTTCTAGTCTTGGACCTCCCATTACTGGTGTTTTTGGAAGTACGCCCTGGAATTACTACTAGTTTGCCAACCTGCAGGAAGAGGATCCAGTATGCTGATAAGAGTGTGGTGGAGCTGATTTACTGTTCCTGACAGGGTTTAGCTAGCTCTCTTATAAATAAAATGAGCATCAATGGCCACATATTTCACCCACTGACCTTTAGTGAGTGGAGGCAGCAGACTTTCCACTGACCAGAATTATGTTCACAGACTGAAACTTGTAATGACAAGGAAGGCAGCAGGTGAAGAATAAAACCTAACACATTGTGACACGTTTATATTGTGCAGCATGCAGTGAATAAATATGACAAACCTGTTTTGTAATAACATTTATTTTGTATTTCTTTAGTATTATATAAGAGGACAACATATGATGTTTGTTATTCCTCAGGCATCTCTGGCTTTTTCACAGCCAAAGATGGAAAGCAATGTATTCTTTTTTAGAAAACTGTTTCTTGAATTGTTATCACTCTCAAATCCTTGAAAAGTGTAAAAAATCTTTTTGATGGGGGAAAGAAAAAAAACCAAAAAACATACAGTACTTCTCTGCTAACAGCTCTTAGAAAAAAAAGTTGTAGAATTAAGAGCTGACAAGAAGTCAAGAAAGGTCTCATCCATTTTCATTTTATTTTATTGTAGGCAGAGCTCCACTGAACATTATTTGCATCTAAAATGGCCAAATAATATTACAAGGGACCATTATCATTTCAGAAAAACAACATCCCTATCTGTTAGGAAAGTGCTCCAGGCTTTATTGCTTAGTACATGTAATTCGTTTTGAGTTTGTTGTTTCTATTTCTGGACAGTTGACCTCAAACATTGATGAGTGTCTGAAACAAGAAGAAAATGATGAAAACATCTGAAGCAAGGCCATTGGTTGCTTTTGGAAACGCCTACCTACATCACTGTTATTTTCTGGAAGACCATGGAGCTAACCTGAAATATCAAAGTGTCATACACAAGAACTTCCTTGATTTCTTTAGCAGATTCAAACTTACTTTTTCAAGCTGTCATTTTCAGAGTATTTATGAATCTGATTAATTGCTAATGGAGTTACAACTATCGTGATTACAGAATTGCATAAATAATGCCTTTTGTTATGTAAAAGGAGCTTTGCCTTTAAAGTGAACATGTGTCCAGGCGATGGGAAGTCAGTAATTACATAATATTAACAAGCAAGGAATAAGCCTTAAAGTGTATTTCCACTTTTGCAGCCAAATTGGGATAACACCTATTTTATATTTGTTACATGTTCCCATTTACATAACATAAGCTAAAAAAAAAATGTTTCTTGTAGTTTAAACTGTTTTTGTCTAGGGTTAGAGTTTTAAGGGCTAACATTTCTACTTGTTTATCTTTCTTTCCAATGTTAGGAGAGGCATTGAGGGGTCTGAGGTTTTCCATTGTATGTCATTTAAGTGAATGAGAGAAACACAATCCTCAAATTTCAGTCCTAAGCCCTTCCATTAGGACAGATTACCGTGAAGGTGCTAAGAAAAAAATTAGAATCGGCCATCTTGCCTGCTTTAACAAAAACATCTAAAAGGTAAGAAATATTTTTTAAAATTATTTTTCTTTAAGCTGTGTGAATAGGATCACATAATATACATATAGAGGTGTTTTCTCAGATTTGACTGCAAATGTGTAAACACTTTAAATCAATCCTTCACTGACCTCTGCAGTTGCAGGTATCATTGAGCAATTAATCCTCAAAGTTTACAGCAGGAACACTGAAAGGGTTATTCACAAAAGGGTGAAGAGTTTGAAAGGGTTAATCACCAAAGGGTGGAGAGTTTGGAGAAGGCAGGGGAAATGAACACTCTAGAACAAAATAGTTGATTTGGAAAAATTCTCCAATTCAGCTCACTTTCCAGTTCAGCTATGTTGTCTTTGTTCACTTCTCATGCCTTCTCCAAACTTTTCACCCTTTTGTGAATAACCCTCTGAATTAATTATTTCACCAGCTCAGCTTCTGAGACTCAGTATTCTTCCAGCTTTCTAATCTCCAAAATAAATAGAGAAGGAGCTCTGGAAGGGTTACCTATGCTGCAGAGAAATAATGCTTTTAGTTCTTCTGCTAAAGGATTCATTGCTCCACAGTACTTGCAGCTACAAATGTCATTGAGGTTGTTTTAAAGGCTAAGTCTACCTTTCTGACCATGTTTCATGTTACACTCATATTCATGGTGTCACATATCAGGGTTACACCGGAGTACACCCATATTCAGGGCGTAACATGAAACTTGATTATATCGCAGTACCCCCTCCCGCTTGGAGCGGTGGCTACTTTACAACACACACCCAGGGACCATGGGAAACATAGTCACCCTCCAGAAGGAAGGACAGTGTCGGCAGGAATTCAGAGATGATTTGAGGATCTACAGCCGAGTGATACACAAATAAGTTACATTTTTTGGAAATAGTTAATGTACTTGAATGCATTTTTAAGATTTAACTCCTGAGTTTAGTGTCACGTTAAGGTTAACA